CTGATGAGACGTGTTCTGGGGGTGTCTTTTCCTCCTGATAGTGGTCCTGGTTGGCATTTTCTTAGAACGGCCTTTACATGTGTATGCCCCCCGATTTTTAAATCTCTCAACCAACCTTTGCTGGCTTTAAAAATTCACCCAAAAGACACTAGTTCCCGGGGTTTTTCCCTTTCACTGGGTGTTAGTTGACTGGTGTGGGTTGCATCCTGGGAGACAAGATTAAGGACCCCAGTGGAAATAAGTTAGAGAGTCCTCGATGATGCACTGACTTTCTTGGGTTATCTTGTGTGGCTAACCTTCCGGGGTTAATCGTTTCTCGGTAATTGTTTCACGTTAAGCCACACCAACAACACACTCTCCACATCTTCGAGTAATACAGCTGATGGTGGTGCAGCAACAACACTGTGGTGCAGCAGCAGCTGTGGTGCAGCAACAGCTGACCATGGTGCAGCTGCAGCTGTGGTGCAGCAGCAGCTGTGGTGCAGCAGCAGCTGTGGTGCAGCAACAGCTGACTGGTCCAATTTATCAGCTGACCGTGGTGCAGCAGCAGCTGACTGTGGTACGATAGTATTTATCACTCATTTTACCACAGGGTTGGCACTAGAAGCTTTCTTTGGGCCCATGGTGGCTTATTTAGCAGTTACAAGCACTATAAATAATGGAATAATACAAAATGTATCGAATGTATGCATGCAACCGGCCACTCTGGCTTGTAAACAATAACGGCAAGGCAGGCGCTCAGGCTGGACGGACAGGTTCGGGACGAGTCATGTTCAGAAACAGCTGATGGTGCAACAGCAGCTGACTGTGGTGCAACAGCAGCTGACTGTGGTGCAGCAGCAGCTGACTGATCCAGCAACAGCTGACTGGTCCAGCAACAGCTGACTGATCCAGCAACAGCTGACTGATCCAGCAACAGCTGACTGATCCAGCAACAGCTGACCGTGGTGCAGCAGCAGCTGACTGTGGTATGATAGTATTTCTCACCCTTTTTACCACTGGGTTAGCACTAGAGGCTTTCTTGGGGCCCATGGTCACTTTTTTGCAGATGAAATCACCAAAAACGCTGTAATAATACGAAATGTTCCGATTGTATGCTGGGATGTTACCGCAGAGGCTGGCTTGTAAACAATGCCACCGGCGGAACATGTGAAGCTGGCTCAGGCCGCACATTAGAAGCGTCTTGGACGAATAGCGTTGAGCGAGTTTTTTAGCGGTATGCGAGGCAAAATTTTAGTGATAAAATGTATCGGTATGCGGATTTAACGTTATGTGATGCCAACGGTATGCGAGGGTCGACTGTATTATTATTATTATTATTATTATTATTATTATTATTATTATTATTAGAATTTATTGTTTTGAATATATAGGATGCACAGTAGTAAGAGTAAATGTTCTGTTTAGTAGGTAGATTTAAATCTTTGAAGAGTTGAGGGGGAGGGGTTTGTCTAGCAGTGGACTGTGTGATCATTTGTACTGCAGCTTTTTGTTGAGTTATTATTTTCTTGAGGTGATTTGCTGTTATGGATACCCAGGCACAAATAGCATAGGTGAGGTAGGGGTAGATCATTGAATGCTATAATGTAAATAGTGCTGTTTGTGGTACATAATAAAGTATCTTTGAGAGGATGTCACCTGTTTTGGACACTTTTTTTGTTATATGATGGATTTGGATGTTGAATTTCTAGTTGCTGTCAAGGTGCAGACCCAGAATTTTCCCTCATTATGTTTAGCAATAAGAGTATTGATAATCATGATGTTTAGTTGGACATTACTTGCTCAGCTCCCAAACATAATGTAGGAGGTTTTGTCAGTGTTAGGTGTAAGTTTATTGGTAGTCATCCAGGTTGATATTTTTAAGAGCTCTTCATTAACAATGTTGTTGAGTGAAGCTGGATTTGGGTGGGAGTTGGCAAAAGTTGTGTTGTCAGCAAAGAGAATAGGTCTAAGTTGTTGCGATACATTTCAATGTCGTTTCTTGTGAACTTCCCTCCTTCCTTTCTCAGCCTGATTACCTGGTCTTTGTTGTTTTCTTCCTGATGTGACTGTACAACAGCTTTGGGTCAGACATGGCTTTCACTGCATGTCATTTTCTTAGTGTTGTTGGGCCTCCCTCCTTACCTGTGCATATTCATTTCTTTATTTTTGACTACTCTCCTTATTGTCATGGGTTCTTTGCCTTCTATACTTCTTCCATTTTCTAGTGCACTTGGTTTTAGCCTCTCTATACCTTTGGGTGAACCAAGGGCTCATCCTGACTTTCTCATTATGTCTGTTGCCCTTGGGTACAAACCTGTCCTCTGCTTCCCAGCATATTGTTATCACATATTCCATCATCTCATTTACTGATTTCCCTGCCAGTTCTCTGTTCCACTGAACCTCATGCAGGAAGTTCCTCATGCCTGTGTAGTCCCCTCGCTTGTACTTTGGCTTCATTTGTCCTGCCCTTCCTGCCTCCCTTTCCACTTGTAACTCTACTATGTATTCAGAACTTAGAACTGTGTGATCACTAGCTCCAAGGGACATTTCATATGTGATGTCCTCAGTATCTGCACTACTCAAGGTGAATATTAGGTCCAGTCTTGCTGGTTCAACCTCTCCCCTCTCTCTGGTAGTGTCCCTAACATGCTGATGCATGAGATTTTCTAGTACCGCTTGCTAACTGTTTTTGGTTGATCCACACTAACAACACATTCTCAACATCTTCGAGTATTCGCGTTCTCTTTTTTGTGAGCATATCTACACCCTTTCATAACATCAGCTTCCTTGATTTCCTTTTTCTTCGCCACAATGGAAGCGATGGTTGTATGGGGCTTCCCATACATCCTGGCAAGATGGGCCACACGCACGCAACTTTCATATTTTGCAATGATTTCTTTCTTGAATTCTATCGTGTTTCTCACATTCTTTACCAAAGGGCTGGCACTACAGGCTTTCTTTTGGCCCATGGTGGCTTATTGAGAAGTTGCAAGCACACAGAAAAATGGAATATTACGAAATGTATCGTATGGACGCGTAGAGTGATGTTCACTCGCCAATAAACAGTGCCACACTGGCTGGTAGTGGTGTGTGGGGTGCCTTTGTGTGGTGCGTACGCTGAGAGGCCACTCATACGCATTCCGGACGAGCGACGAATGGCAAGCCAAATTATGAACCGCGAGCCTATATTTTGACGAAAAAAGTTGTTGAAAGTCAAAATTTATGAAGTGCGAACCTTGCGAAACTCGAGGGTCCACTGTATATTCAATATTCAAGTTCAAATCCAAATGGTATTTCTTTTATGCAGTATACAGATAATGTGGTGTACATGTAATAAAATATTAGGAACAAAAGAAAGCCACTATTATGCAATGCATTTTGGGCAAACTGATCCTAATGCTTAAAAACTTCTTAAGAACTTGACGTAGATTATTTAGTAGGATTTCTTAAATGTACAAAAAGAGAGGTACAGGTACCATCCGACTTAAGACCAAGCTTGGTTCCGACCAACTGGTCATAAGTCAAAATGGACGCAAGTTGAACCTTTGAAAATTGCCGACATACTGGGTAGAGCATCATGTCAAACCTTTCCTATATAAACTACCTACATACTACTGTAATGTAATGTACAATCATTATTTCATTCTTTTTACCATAATTTACTTCTATTGTTATATTTTAATTATTTATGTACTGTATATATTGTATACATGGTAGTGAACTATTTGGTAAATTTTACAACGCATACAGTATTACATGTTACTGTTATCTTTCTGTATTTTCGACACAGTGGAATGGGAGAATACCACTGGTAGTGTCATCCTGCCAGATTGTAGTATAACCTATACCCTAAGTAAAGAGAAACAACTCTTGAACATGTGTAATACGAATCTGGGTGGGTGGCCGGGTGGGTGGGTGGTTGGCTGACTGGAAGTGGAAATGTGCTCCAGTGCCCTAAATTAATAATAATATTAATAATTATTATTATTACAATAATACACACGTACTAATATTAATAATATTATCATTAAACTATAATATAATAATCGTGTCCACTCATTACTTACCTTAAAATATCTGTAGTCTTAATGTAGAATGAGAGGTGAGTAAACAAGATTTAATGAATAAACGAGAGAGAGAATGATTATAGAAGGTTCGTGAGTTATGTAAACAATTGTTGTTGTTGTCAGCCCGGACACGAATGGTTTTTGTTCACTCTGTTAAGCCGACCAGAAAAACATCTCATATTTGTTAATTTATATGTTTATATGTTATGTAGCATGTTTATTATATAATTTTGAAAATAAAAATCATAGATGGATTAAGCAAAATGTCTATATTAACATTTTATACACATTTTATGTGCCTCAGTGATTATTATTATTATCATTATTAATATGACATCTTCAAGACCAATTACACTCTTAATGAGTGGCTCTGAGACAGACAAGCAGACAGAAAGACAGACACACAGGTAAACAGAAAGACACACAGGTAGACAGAAAGACACACACAGGTAGACAGAGACACACAGGTAAAAAGACACAGGTAGACAGACACACAGGTAGACAGACAGATAAACAGACACACAGAGATACAGACAGACACAGATATACAGGCAGACAGATACAGACAGGTTTATGTGCAGCAGTGAAAACAAATAGAGTTTGAGAGTAAGAGCCTTTCTTGCCACAATCTCCAGTGCAAGATTCAGACTTCATCTTAGGGGCCATGGTGAAATTTACTGTCCAGTTAGTACAGTTAATACAGTATGATGCTGCTGATAGGGCAGGGTAACTCAAACTGATGCTGCCTGCATGACGCATTGCCGCCGCAAGTATCGTCAAATATTGTACAGCGGTGTGCATCAACCGGCCCAGCCCAGCTGCCAGATGAACGGTCGTAAGTCGAATGGACGTATGTTGAGCAGGTCGTAAGTCGGATGGTAGGTGTAGTTAAATGAACAGTACAACATTTGATTATTGGAATTCACGATCACTATCTTAAATGCTTTTCAGAGGAACTCTTCCTTTCGGATCCAGAATTCCTCGATCCAGTTCGCCCAGAATACTTAAGCCATGAAGACCGATATGCCAATGAATTGCGTAAAGCGTGTTACATGGTTCGTAAATTTCATGAACATGAGGAGGTACAGCAAATTGTTGGCCAAATGGAAGGAATGAGGTGAGCACATTCAGTATTATGTTTAATGTTTTGATGTTCCTTTCCCATGCACTCCATAGTAATACTTTTTGTCACCCATGTACTGTAGAGTATACAGTTTCTCCTCACTTAGCGACATACTCATTTACTGATGCCTCGGACTTATGATGGGGGCTCTAATCAGTATTCATACCTAAATAATATATTAGAGCCGATTTCCTCTATTCTGTTTATTTCACTATATAGTACACTACTGTATAAACATTTAAAAATATACCAGAAGTGTTATAAAGGTGCAAAGGTGACATTAAAACAATATCAAAGATGGTTGACAAACTCTCTATCAATATAATATGCTCCTCACTTAGCGACGAATTCATTTAACGATTTGGTCTCAGGAACGGAACTCCGTCATTAAGTGAGGAGAGACTGTATGTGTATGTTTGTTTGTATGCAGTAGTTCTCACAGGTGCTCTTTGCTGATGACACAGCTCTTGTAGGAGATTTCAATCTGAAGACAAGTTACAAAGGTGGGTGGACAAATTTGGGAAGGTATGTAAAATAATTAAATAAAAAAGTGAATGAAGTAAAGAACAGAGTGTGATCATGGTGTAATAGTGGAAAGCTGGTTGCAGAACGCAGTAACAAATGAACAAACAATGTATGGGGCCGATCTAAGCTCCAGTGATGGCCTAATTGCAAGTACTACTGCACCAACATACAAGGTAAGATATATGGATTGTGCTTTTTGTAACAGAGATAGAAAGGTCAGACAGAGGGTGTCTCCCCCAGGAGCTGGTGTTGGTGACATAATCAGCAGATTGGATATTATGTCAGGCAATGGGAACAAGCACATTATCTGTCTTAGTCCTAGTGGAAATGACATTGGGAATGGCAGGAGACAGGAGCTCCTGGATAAGTACAGGTCAGCCATAGATGTAGTCAGGTCTAAGGGAGGGATCCCAATCATATGTAGCATCTTGCCTAGAAGGGGAGTGGGCAATGAATGGATGTCTAGGGCAATTGGTATAAATTGCTGGCTAGACAGGTATTGTAAGGAACTTGCAATCCCATTCATTGATAACTGTAACAGATTCTATGGCAAGCATGATATGTATGCAAGGGATGGGGTTCATCTCTCTGGGGCTGGAGTGGTTACATTAGCCAATTTGATTGATGGGGTCGTTGATGACTTGTCTAGGACTTTAAACTGATAGATTATAGAGGTATGGGTGTCTGTGGGAAACAATCAGACTGCAGTACTAGGGTTGAAAATGGCAGGTATAACAAGGATACCTCAGAGATATGTTTAAAAGACAATATTCAAAATAAAGCTGCTAGTAAAGATAAATCAGTTGAACAACAAACAGAGAGATAGTAGAGGGCAACGAGTGATTAGCTCCCTTAAGGCTTACTATACAAATAGTAGGAGTCTAAGAAATAAGGTAGATGAGCTAAGATTACTTGCAAGTGCAGGTAATATAGATATAATTGCTGTAACAGAGACCTGGTTCAACTTGCAAGATATAGAAATGCCCTCTGAATGCAATATACAGGGTTATAAACTATTCCATACTGATAAGGCCAATAGGAAGGGTGGTGGAGTGGCGATGTATGTCAGAGATAATTTAAATTGCTATGTTAGACAAGATATAAGATGAGAAACAACAGACACAGAATCTGTTTGGCTACAGTTTCTCAAGGGTCGTGAAAAGTTAATTTTGGGTGTGATTTATAGGCCCCCAAACCTTGATAGAGAGTTCAGTAAGCTGCTATGGGATGAAATTCATAAGGCATCTAGATATGAAAATGTGTGAATGGGAGATTTTAACTTTAGACAAATTGATTGGAACAGTGTGACAGGAAATCTTGAGTCTAGTGACTTTCTTGATACGGTTCAGGATTGCTTTTTAAAACAGTTTGTGACAGAACCAACTAGAGGAAACAATCTACTTGACTTGGTACTTGCCAACAAAGAATCACTAGTTAATAATCTTGAGATTAATGATGAGCTTGGGGAAAGTAATCACATATTACAATGGAACCTCAAAAATCGAACTGCTCCCAACTCGACCAATTATGTAAGTGTATTTTTGTAAGTGCTTTTATAAGTGTATTTTTGAGGGTCTTAAATGGACTAGTCTAATTTACATTATTCCTGATGGGAATAAATTCGTTCGGTAGTGGCACTCGAACAGCCTTCTGGATCGAAGAAAGTTCGATATTTGAGGTTCCACTGTACTTAGTTTCAATATATCATGGAGTTAACCGAATAACTGCAATCAAATCTCTTAACCAGACTTTCGCTTCGCTGATTTCATGGGACTGAAAAATTACCTGGATGGGCTAAATTGGGATGTCCTGACTGGGTCAGGTAGGTGATCTTGGTTGCCAATATGACATTTTTCAGAGCATAGTTCTAGCTGCCCAGACAACTTTTGATTCAAGTAGGGAAATTAGATCTAACAAAAATGATCCCAGATGGATAAACAATAGATTAAAACATCTCATTGGTCAAAAGAGAGGCATATATAGGCATATCAAAAGAGGGGAGGGGCAGTTAAGAAATCAATATATTCGGTTAAAGAGAGAAATAAAACAAGGAATAAGAAAAGCAAAAAGAGAATATGAGGCTTAGGTTACAAGGGATTCAAAGACTAACCCAAAAGGGTTCTTTCAGGTATACAGAAGTAAGATTAGGGACAAGATAGGCCCACTTAAGAGTAACTCAGGTTAGATCACTGACAGTGATAAGGAAATGTGTGAAATTTTCAATTCTTACTTCCTCTCAGTTTTTACTCAGAAAGATATTAGCAAAATTCCAGATATAATAGATTATGTAGAACAGGACGATAATAAACTATGCACGATTGCGGTAACTAGTGACATGGTTCTCAGATAATTAGAGAAGTTAAAAGCTAACAAATCCCCAGGCCCTGATGAACTGTTTGCAAGGGTATTAAAGGAATGTAAAGAGGAACTTAGCATGCCTTTGGCTAATTTTTTCAATATTTTACTACAAACTTGCATAGTGCCTGACAAGTGGAAAATGGCAAATGTAATACCTATTTACAAGGCAGGTGACAGGTCCTTAGCTTCGAACTATAGACCAATAAGCCTTACCTCCATAGTAGGAAAATTTATGGAATCAATAATTGCTGAAGCAATTCATAGTCATATCGAAAGGCATAAATTGATTAATGAATCTCAGCACGGTTTTACAAAGGGGCATTCCTGTCTTAAGAATATACTAACTTTCTTCACTAAGGTATTTGAGGAGGTAGATAATGGTATTAAATATAATATTGTGTATATGGACTTCAGTAAGGCTTTTGATAGAGTTCCACATCAGAGGCTATTGAGGAAACTTAAGGCACATGGAATAGGAGGAGAAATTTTTTCCTGGGTTGAGGCATGGTTGATAAATAGGCAGCAGAGAGTTGCATAAATGGGGAGATATTGGAATGGGGGCACGTCACAAGCGGTGTTCCACAGGGGTCAGTGCTGGGCCCCTTATTGTTGACAATCTTCATAAACGACATAGACGAAGGGAATAAATAGCGACATAAGCAAATTTGCTGATGTCACCAAAATAGGCCGTCCAATTCATTCTAATGAGGACATTAGAGCACTCCAAGATGATATGAATAGACTGATGCAGTGGTCAGAGAAGTGGCAGATGCAGTTTATAGACAAATGCAAAGTTCTAAATGTTGGACTGGAAAATAACCATGCCACATATAAACTAAATAATGTAGATCTTAATATTATGGATTGCGAAAAGGATTTAGGAGTTCTGGTTAATAGTAATCTAAAACCAAGACAATAGTGCATTAGTGTTCGCAATAAACCTAACAGAATCCTTGGCTTGATAGCAAGAAGTATAAATAATAGAAGTCCTCAGGTTGTTCTTCAACTCTATATATGTCTGGTTAGGCCTCATATAGATTATGCTGCTCAGTTTTGGTCACCGTATTACAGAATGGATATAAATGCACTGTAAAACGTACAAAGGACGATGACAAAGTTGATCCCATGTATCAGAAATCTTCCCTATGAGGATAGACTGAGGGCCCTGAACCTGCACTCTCTAGAAAGGCGTAGAATTAGGGGGGATACGATTGAGGTGTATAAATGGAAAACAGGAATTAATAAAGGGGATGTAAATAGCGTGCTAAAAATACAGTAGGGCCCCACTTATACGGCAGGTTAGGTTCCAGGGTACCGCCATAAAACGGAAATCGCCGTAAAGTGGAACATCCTTTTTTTCCCGGCAGAGGCAGGCAGGCAGGCGAATAGTTATGTAAACAAACCAGGCGAACGTAAGTTTTCTAAACGAAGTGTACACGTCCGGTTTGTGTACAAGTTACATTGTCTCTACATTGATATGGTAGAATAAAGAAAGAAGAAGACTCCCATTCTCATGTAACACCATTTTTAGAAGAAATGACGCTCTGAGTGAAGGCAATGGAAATAAGTCACTCTGACTTTTTTGGGTTATCCTAGGTTCTCTACACATATGCTGTTATGTATGATAATCTATGTAACTGTATTTGTGTGTACCTGAATAAACTTACATACATACGAAAGGAATAATTTTCTACAGTTACCCCCAGTAACACATTTTCTCTGATGTTGGACTACAGAAAATGTTATTTTTGCCATCACTTGTAAAAGTCTGGTTCCCATGTCTCATATTTGTTTATTTATTCTATTGTGGGGTGTATTTATCATCTTTATATGTTATGTGTTGTGTTTATTATATAATTTTGAAGAAATATCATAGATGGATTACTGAAAACATGTATATTAACGTAATGTATGACATTTAACCCTTTGACTGTTTCGGTCGTATATGTACATCTTACGAGGAACCGTGTTTGACATATGTATACTCATAAATTGTAGCGGCTTCAGATCAAGCAGGAGAAAGTTGGTAGGCCCACATGTGAGAGAATGGGTCTGTGTGGTCAGTATATCATAGATGGATTACTGAAAACATGTATATTATTATTTATTATCACACTGGCCGATTCCCACCAAGG